GGGAAGAGGGCGTTTGGTGGGGTTTCCAACTCCAGGTTGGGAAATTCCTGGATATTTGGGGGGGGGGGCGGTGGGGCATGAGGGGCAGGATTTGGGGAGGGACCTAGGTTTGGGTATAATGCCCTAGCCACCTCCTCCTTCGGGGAACTGACCTATGTAATCAGGAGATCTGTTGTGATTCTGAAGCGATCGCCAGGCCTCAACTGGCGGTCGGCAGCCCTAGCTAGGAAAGACCAGAAACCTGAGGATATAATAACAAAATATATATATAAAAATAGTATGTGAACCCTTTAACAAATTTTGTGAATGAAGAATATTATCCTAAATATCTCTGGTGTCCCTCTAGTTTTTGGGGACACCTCAGAGCCCTAACAAAATTCCCATCGGAAGCAGTCCTTTCTAGTAAAGCAATACAGTCCGATGTTGATGGAGCCAAAGCGATCCTGGTGGTGGGTGGAGATCTCCTGGCATTACAGTTTGTCTCCTGGCAGCAGAGATCAGTTCAACTGGTGAAAATGGCCAGTTTGGAAAGTGGATTCTATGGCATTATACCCCCATTGAAGTCTCTCCCCTTCCCTAACCCCACCCTCCTCAGGCTCCACCCCCAAAATCTCCAGGTATTCCCCAACCCGGAGCTGCCAACCCTAGCCCTACCTGGGTGGGGGTCACCCAAGGAGGGGGTTGCTACCTGCCATGAATGATCAGGGGGCTTAATTTCATGTCTCGATCAAGGTTGTAGTTTCATTTTGCTTCTGCTGGAGGCAGCTGGAGAGAGAAGAGAGCAGATGCCGAATGAGGAGAGCAACCGGAGCCCTGGTTCTGTTATCCTGTGTGTGATCTCTGTCCTGAGGGTGGTGGGGGGAAGCGGTGGAGAATGAGAAATTGCCTTCTGCTTCCCTTGCAGCGCTTGTCTTTCTGGCAGCACGAGAATAGTAGCTGGGGAAGCAGATGGTAACATCGCCTTTCATTTTCCTCACCGGTGCATCAGCCGCTTGGCTGTGCTTTGCTTGTGAGGTCTAGAAGAGAGGTGTCTGCCTTGAACGTTGGGCCCACTGAGGGATCGCAGTAGAACTGACTTCCCAGTAAGCGTACATAGGGTCAGCCTGTTTAAGCACGTGCCGCTGGTTATAGACTCTACTGAATTTGTTTGCAGCAAAATAAGAACGGGAGTCCGGTGGCACCTGAAAGACCAACAAAGCTCATTCCAGCATTAAGTGTTCCTGAGTCAGAGCTCAATTTATCGGAGTGCCTGCCTCAGGGCCTTATATTTAAATAAATTCCTGTGTATGCTGCTCTTTTACTCTGTAGAATGATTAGATGCAGAGGGGGACACTGGGGCTGCTATGTTCCGACAGTTTGTCTAGAAGAGGGGATTTTGGCAGGCAGCGCTTGGTGTACAGGAAGTAGACAAGGTGCGCCTCCCGAACTGCCATCTTCGCAGCTATGAAAGGCATAAAGGCCTTTGCCCTCCTTTGGTTATGCTAATCCTTTCTTGCCTTTTGGTTGGTTAAAGTGGACAGCTGCGTTGGTCTGAAGCAATAGAACAAAGTTAGAGTCCGGTGGCACCTTTAAGACCAACGAAGTTTTATTCAGGGTGTGAACTTTTGTGTGCACGCACACTTTGTCAGACAATGAAATGGAATTACAGATCATAGTTGTATATATAGGTGGTGGCTTGTTAAATTAGCATGCAAAATAGTGAAGATGTTTTTTAACAGGTAGAAAGAATGACAAGCTTGGTTTCTGGTTATCATCTGTTTGGGTTCAACTGGGGGAAAATATAGGTAATATGTCAGAACGGGAGATTGGTGTACCCTAAATGGAGAATTCAGTCATTAGATTCCTTCCATCCATCTCCTTTCTAGCATGGAGGCAAACTTTAAAGCATCTTGGCCTTTTGGGTTTTCCTTTGACTGAAAACCCGTGTGAAGAAAAGGGTGGTACAATTGGTGCGAGTCATCTGAAGTTAGGCCACAACCCAGTTGCATGGGTCTGAATCTACCGGATGGACTAGCACTTTCAAGTATTTCCCTAGAAGGTCAGAAATGTTGTGCTGCTCTAAACCACTGGTGTTTGTAATCTCATTGCCGTTAATGGGCTGTCCCTAAAAGTGAGCCAATGCGGAATGGTGGTTAGAGTGTCAGGCTTTGGGTGGAGAGACTTGGTTTCAAATCTCCACTGTGTCGTGAAATTCCTTGAGTGTTCTTCAGGCACTCACCCATTCTCGGCCCAGTGTATTTCACAGCATTATTGTGAGGATAAAGAAGAAGATAAGGTTTTTATACCCTGCTTTTATACCCCACTTCCCTCTACCTTAAGGAGTCTCAAAGCAGCTTACAATCACCTTCCCTTCCTCTCTCCACAACAGGTAGCTCTTCCGCGGTCTCATTTTTTGTCACTCGTTTGTCCCTGTTGCTTTGCGCCCCCCCCACATGTGTTTTGATCCTTCTGGGTCTACTAGAGAGAGTAAAACACATTGGGGGGGGGGATCCCTGAAGCAAAAGGACACACAAGTGATGAAAATCAGAATGTGGAAGAGCCCAGGGATATTGGTTTCTTATCTTACTGCGTCTGCGGTCACACACACTAAATAATCCGCTTTCAACCCACTTTCAGTGCACTTTCCAACTGGATTTTACAGTGTGAACTGGCAAGATCCACTTGGACAGTACATTGAAAGTGGATTATTTAGTGTGTGTGACTGCAGCCTCCATACGCTAAATTCATTTCGTCCTTACATCTGTAGTCTCACCAAGAAGGGCTATACTTCCTCTTTATTTTAGTGTATTTCTTATTTGGAATAGTAGATTAGAATAGTGAATGGAATGTAATGCAATGAATTAGAATGGTATATTGGAATACATTCCTCTGGTCTGGTAACAGAGGAGACATACATGGCACTACAAATCACCCAACGTCAAAGAAAAATATGCTATTAGTTACCTCCATGCTTGAGAGAAGAAGAAGAGATTGGATTTATACCCCGCCCTTCACTACCCAAAGGTGTCTCAGAGCAGCTTACAAACTCCTTTCCTTTCCCCTCCCCACAACAGGCACCCTGTGGGCAGGGTTCCCTCTAAGCTGAGTTAGTGTGAGCTAGCTCACAGTTTCTTAGCTTCCGGCTCACACATTTTTGTCTTAGCTCAGGAAGGAGGCCTCCAGAGCAGACTAGTTTATGCAGTAGCCAAATCGCTCGCTCACAACTTTAGTGCCAGTAGCTCACAAAGTAGAATTTTTGTTCACAAGACTCCACAGCTTAGAGGGAACATTGCCTGTGGGGTAGGTGGGGCTGAGAGAGCTCTTGACAGAAATGGCTCTTTTTCAAGAACAGCTCTTATCAGAACTGTAGCTTGCCCAAGGTCATCCAGCCAGTTGCAAGTGGAGGAGTGGGGAATCAAACCCGGTTCTCCCAGATTAGAGTCCGCGCACTTAACCACTACACCAAACCGGAGGAGATGGACAGCAGGGTCTCAGATGATTGCTTTTAGCACTCCATAATTAAGAAGGATGTATTTACACATCAATGGCCAATTTTGACATATTTATTTTCTTCCCTGTTTCCCCCCCAGAATGACCTTATAAACTTAGCTTGTTATTCCCGTTTGCATCTGTTAAAAACATTTCATTATATTGTATGCTAATTTGCTATTCAACCTCTGCCTTATATGTATGAACTGGTAAGTTTCATTTCACTTTGAGGAAATGTGCCTGCGCAGAAAAGCTCACACCTTGACTAAAACATTGTTGGTCTTAAAGGTGCCACTGGGCTCAAATTTTGTTCTCCCCACAACAGTCACTTTGTGAGGCAGGTGAGGCTAAGAGAGTTCTGAGAGAACTGTGACTGGTCCAAGGTCTTCCTGATTAGAGTCCGTCACTCTTAAGCACTACACCACGCTGGCTCAGTGGGTTGAACCATATGTCCTTCCCTTAGCTCTTTAACAGAAAGGTGAGGTAAAAATGTAGTCAGTGTACTTGGAAGATACACATCTGATATCCCAGGGACAGATATTTCTGAGATTATGTGGTGGTTATTTAAAAAACACAGAATGTTAAAAAAGTTTTAGAACCGAAAAACTGAGTTTTAGAAATATTGCCTGGCAGTCGAAATGCGTGTTCGAAACTTCATCAGCTGTTTTTGCATTGTTTTTAGCTCTGTTGGAACTGGATGAAGAAAAAGAATGGATATGGGTAACCAACATCCCGCCATTAAAAGGTTACAAGAAATACAGAAGGAAGTCAAAGAGTTTGAACCGCAAGTAGCAGCCTTCAGTGGTCTGTCTGGGGACAGAGCTTACAAGAAACTAGAGAGGTCTTTGACCAAGCAACTTTTTGAAATAGATTCGGTGGACACAGAAGGCCGAGGGGACGTTCAGCAAGCCAGAAAGCGAGCCGCCCAGGAAATTGAGAGGCTGCTTAGAGAACTGGAGCAGAATGCAAATCACCCCCAGAGGCTGGAGCTGGAGTCCATATTTAAAGAAGCACAAACCCTGGTGGAGCACGAGATCACAGGTTTTTACAAAGGAGGCAATTGCATCACTGAGGAATTTGACGAGGGCATTCAGGATATCATCTTTAGGCTCACTCAGGTGAAAACTGGAGGGAAACCCTCTCTACGGAAAGCCAGGTACCGCACTCTGACCAAAGTCTGTGCTGTTCAAGAAATCATAGATAACTGTGCGAAGCAGCAGCCGTCATTGCCGCTGTCCAGCGATGCACATCCTTCGGTCGCTAAGATTAACTCTGTCATGTGTGATGTCAACAAAGCAAAAGGGACTCTGATTGCTGTTCTGATGGGAGTGAGCAGCAATGAGACCTGCAGGCATCTGTCTTGCGTGCTGATAGGCCTGATCGCTGATCTAGATGCCTTAGACGTCTGTGGCCACCCGGAAATAAGGAACTATCGCAAAGAAGTTGTGGAAGAGATAAACAAGTTGCAGAGGTACCTAGATCTGGACGAAGAAGCCGATTCCGCTTACGCCTACGATCTGGCGCAAAACAGGTGCATCGTAAAGATCGAGGAGATCCGCAAGAAGATGAAAGAGATAAATTCCTCGCTTTTGAAAGGAGAGCGAGCTGCGGACTTGTACTTGAAGTCCAAGGCAGAGCTGCAGGGGCTGATCGCCCAACTGGACGAAGTGAGCCCGGGCAAAAACCCCTGCATCCGGGAAGCCAGGAGACGAGCGGTGATTGAAGTGCAGACCCTCATCACGTACATTGACCTGAAAGAAGCCCTGGTCCGGCGACAGGTGTTTGTGCAGCAGGCGGAAGTGGAGCCTCCGTCGCACAGGGCCGTTTGGAACATTCTTGAGGCCCTCTCCCAGATTCTCCAGGAGGTGCTGTCCTTTGACGGGAACAGGACGGACAAGAACTACATGAGGCTGGAAGAGTTGCTCACGAAACAGCTCCTGTCCCTTGATGCTATAGACCCCCAAGGAGACGAGCGCTCCAAAGCGGCCAGGAAGCAGGCAGTGAAGCTGGCACAGAATATTCTGTACTACCTAGACATGAAAACGGACGAATGGGAGTACTAAAATAGCTGCGATCTCGTGCTTGATGTTGCCGCCTTTTTTTGTTTGCACTTCATGCCAGCCGATCTCTCAACAGAGTCCAGAGTTACGTGGTTTGCTTTTGTCCTTGTGGCTGAGGAAGTGTCGGATTGGGCTTATGCAGCAGTCGTGTCTCTCGCTGTCCCAGCCAGGCAACGGCAGCAGTCCGCATGCTATCTGTGTTATGATTTTGGTCACAGCTATCTCTCTTTATCTCCCCTGGGTTCTCTCGCTCTTATCTTCTGTCACGAAGAGGGGCCACACTTGCTGTGCTCTGGTAGTTAGCCAAAACCAGCCTTCCACACAATGAGAGAATGCAGCTTGTCTGAAGTGTTTTCTTATCATTCCGTCAAGGTGACAAAGAAGACACCAGGAGCTAACTTCGTTAGCTGTAAGCCAGCGTAGACCATGCGGTTGGTTTGATGGAATGCGGGGGATGCTTCAAATGTGCTGTTGCGATCCAGAGGATTAAATGCAAATTACTCATGGCTTATTCCCACCCACCATGTGTTTTAGTTTAATCTTGCTCATCTCTCCCCAAATGGTTCCAAGGTGTTTTCCAAAGGGCTGTAGAACTGCATGGTACTAACAATGGTGTGGGGAGATGAGCGGCAGCCTGCAGGCCCCATACCCTGAAATAGTCCACCGGGTTATAGTTCAGGGTTTGTGCGTAACGCTAATTTCAGGTTGGTCGTTCAGAAAGGAGTCCTCCTCTATAACCCAGGGACGACGGAATTGTGATACTTCAAAAATGGAATGTCATCGCTTAGAATGGGAGGGGGGAATTGCTACCACTGAAGGATTGGGCTGGATTCTTCAGTGGCCAAGAGCCTCCAAAACTGAAGATTCTGTTGGCTGTAGAGCTATTGCAGTTTTCGCTTTGGCGTGTGAAATCACTTGCTATTTGGTACCTTGTCCCTTTGACAGTATCTCTCCCCCCCCCCAATCAGATAACTGTAGTTTCTGACAGTAGGAACTTCTGCAAGTGCTTCCATACCCTGACTTCCAAACCCATTGGTGTTGGGTAAAGGTCTCGCAGTGTTGCTCATAGGTTCCAAATCCTCCTCAGCTTAAAAATTCTCTTTTAATCGAAGTATTGCTGTCTGTTGTGTTACCAGTCCTCCTCAGCTTAAAAATTCCTGTGAACGTTCCCTTGGAGATGATGAAGGCTGTATGTACTGCTCTTTACGCGTCTAGGTGTGCTGAATCCACTGTTCCCCGACAGTTCTTGATCTTTCAGGCAGCCCGAACGGCAAATGCTTCTTTTTTGATCGAAGTATTGCTGTCTGTTGTGTTACCAGCCTCAAGTAGGTCCATGTGCTTAGTGGACAAAGAAACGTGTGTTTTTCCCCTCTCCCCTTCTCTTGTCTTCAGTAGAGCCCTGGCAGCTTATTAATTGTACCCATCCAGATCAATAAAATATACTGGAGTTCAGTTTAGTTTTCATGCTTCCCTGTCTACTTACAGGTTGAGGAAAGCAGAAACCAGCATCCAGCATAGTTTTGCAGAATGTGTTGTTAGTGGCCTGCAGAAATCTGCAGAAAATAAACTTAAATTGTTTTTAAAAAGCTTATTTGATAGTAATTTTTAATACGTGAGGAGAGCTGGTTTCTAGAGGATTACCAACGCTTTCAGATATTGCATTTGTATCTGCATATTAACATGTGATTAGATGAAACAAGGCTCTCTTAAGTAAACAAGTGCCTTTTTATGTGACCCAAGAGCTGATGGCACATCTATAACTTTGGCTGTTTGCCTCATGCTGCTTTTTTTGGTAAAGTGTCTCCTGTACACCGGATCACTTCTTTAACTCTTCAGCTGTAGTACGGATCAGAAGAATGTTACCTTTTGGATTTTATTTTTCAGAATAAATTTAATCTCCTATTAGGAGGCAACAGAGGGCCAGGTGGCTGAGTTTCAGGCAAAGAGTCAAGAAGATTCAAGAAGCCAGAGTTCTTTTTGCGACTGACCCCGAGACTCTGACCCCGGCCCAGTTAACTTGCACCGTTTCTATGCCTCACTTTCTTCCGCTGGGAAAAAAGTGTGTCAGCTGTATTGATTTTTTTTTAAAAAAAAATGCTTTTTTGAGATTGCCAAACAAACAACTTGTTCAGAATACTGACTGTGAAAACACTCTTCGTGTCAGAGGCGTATCCGCCTGGCAAATCTCTTTATCAAGATTACAGATTCGGTCTTCGTCTGGGCTAAATAGAACTCAGTGCTGAATAACGAACTTACTGAACGCTTCACCCTTAGTGTCTTTCCTGTAACCTTTCCTGCTCATTTTAAAGAACCTTAACACCTACCTGCATGTGTTGTGTTCTAGTTTGTCTTCGGACAATGTTTGAACAACTATAATTGAAACGTTTCACTTTTAGTAAGGTTTTTTAAAACTTTAGCCGCAGTGACTTTGTGCACTTATGCACAACGCCATATGGATTGTGTGCAGTTTCTGTGTGACGTGGACTCCCGCATTGGTTTCATTTCTAGAGCAGTATGCTATGTGTTTCCCTCCACCCTTGCATACTGCGTGTGGTGTGACTTCATATTCAGCAGGGAAGTCCTTGTTCAGAGTTCCATGTGCATATTTCAGGTTTTTTCATTGTATAAGAAATCCCTAGATGTGTGAATGACAATAATATACAGCTAATGTTTCAGTAATTTCATTTTTCTGTTTTCATAAACCTCCGCAAAATGTTCATCTATTCTACTCTTCACAGAAATGTTCCCATTTCCATAGCAGTTATTTCAGGGGTGTTTCAAGGTTTGTTTTCTCAATTTTCCATGTCGTCTCTTAGAGCTACACATTTACCAGGGCAAACACATAAGGGTGGTGAGATAAATGCTGTTACTATAACATCTTTAAAATCTTCAGCTCCTAAGATTAATGTGCAATACTTAAATATGTCCTGAGATCCTTGGTGCAGTATCAAGTCAATGCATGAATGAAAATGCTGAATTCAATTAAATAAGCTAAACCAAAAAAAAAAGAAAAAAAGATCTGGTATGTGGATTTGAAGAAATATTTCTTCTGTGATTTTTTAAAGAATGTATTTTTTTCTATTTAATATGCAAATAGGCCAGGATTGCATAGTCCTCCCTAGCTTTCCATTGCAATAGGCTGAAAACATTTTTTTGCTGTTGACTTACTCAACGCTGGACCATTTCAGAGTCTGCATTTTGTCCAAAGTGGGGTTTTCCCCCCTTTTGTGCAGTGTCAAGGCATTGTAAGAAGAGAAACAAAATGGATGTAATTTTGCTGAATCCTGAGCATCATGATATTCATGGGGTTTTTTTTTCTGATTATGATTGTATTGCTTTAGGAGCAGGGTTGATCCAAAGCAAACAGCCTTGTTCCAATAGGCTTGCCAGCAACTGTGGTAAAACGTTCTCTCCTCTGATCAGTCTGGTTTTGACTGTCTTGCGATCTGCAAACCATCGGAGAGAGTCCCCCTGCACTTAAGTGCCAGCGCTTAAAGCGGTAGAGATTGTGCTGTTTATGTTTTACTGAATTTTGATGGACACGAAATCTTCCTTTTCAGAATATGTGTCAGCTTAATTTTTGTGTATGCCGTTGGCTTGGTGTGTACAGATTCAAAGTGAAATGTTGTTTAATAAAGCATTTTCATGCTTTCTTCTTGATAATTCATTTTGAGGGTAAGCTATTCTTCACCTTAAACATGAAGCGCTCATCATTGGGGTGAAAGTTTTGTTAACATACATCTCTGTTTTCCTAGGAGCACAGGAGACTCATATCAGAATGCTAACAGTAGTGTTACAGAAACTAATCAAAGTAAAGCCGTGTAGCTAACAGGGTTGTGTGAGTCGTTGGTTTTAGCTTCACATTCATTTTCAAGGAATGGGCCCAAACAAAACTGGAATTTTGAAACAGAGGCTGGTTGAGACAGACCATTTCTCCCTAGTTCTTGGCTTGGATTCTTTCACAGACCACGTTAAGCTCCTTAATTCTTGCTCTCCCAACTGGCCGAGGGGCCCCTTCTTTCACCTATCCTGAAGTGCAGTTGGACTCTACATGCTTCCCGCTGTTCTCTCTACCCAATCATGATCAGGAGCACCTCCTTGATGTTTACGGCCTAGGGTTGCCAAATCATAATTACTCACCGGCGGGGGAGCGTTTGCTGGGTCCGGGCGCTGGCCATGGGTCGCACGGGCCGTCAGAACGTCACCGGAAGTGACGCAGGATGTGGGGCACGTTGGGGGCGTGGCCCAGATCGTCAGGGGGGAAACCATATGGTTTCCCCCCCGACATCTGGGCCACGCCCCAAATGTGCCCTACGTCCGGCGTCACCTCTGGTGATGCAGCTTCGGAGGGTGGAGTTCCCCCCGGGGCCCGATTCCGCCACGGCAGAAATCGGGCCTCCAAAGCGGGGGGAAATCCGCCCCCCTGGGGGATTTGGCAGCCCTATTACGGCCCTATAGCAGGATATCCCCAAAGCAATCCATGGCCCTTTCTGCACCCGTATTTTACCTCAGTCTTTGAGCGCATCCTGTTGTTCCGTTCTGCATTCCCTCCCGCTTTCATTTCCTGTTTGTGTTGGGGCTTTTTCTTGTTTCTGCATTTGTTTTACAGGAATCTGTATTCAGACCACTTCCAGCACACTGTTGCCTTGCAGTGACCAAAGCGCCTTTTGCTGCAATTCTTTGTTCTCATCCGCTTTCGAATCGCTAATCCTTTCTAAAGTAGACTTGTTTCTGTGGGTATTTAAGTGCTGCCCGCTGCCCTCCCCCTTTTCCGCCTCTCTCTATGTTGACGCTCCCCATTCTGCTTTCTTTCCCTCCTTCTCCAAAGACAGAGGAGGATGAATCCTCTCATTTAGGTAGACTTTAAGACCAGAGAGAGCATAAGAAGGAAATCAGTAAATATAAAGGACTAGGGGATTCTATGCTTCCAAATGTGTCAGTCTTGCATGTGTGGGCCTGGATTACCCCCTCCCTTCCTTTTTTGCAGAATCACAGAGGGAGGGAGGGGTTGGGCCTGCAGGTAAAAGTCTTGAAAGGTTTGCCTTTCTCTTCATCTTAGATTTAAAAAAAAAAACACCTTTGGATACCACCCACACAATGTCACATGGCATTTCCATACTAATTAGGCAAAAAATGTGGGTTTTGCCCCTAGATGCAGAATGCACACGGAATATACAAGTGCCAAGGGAATGCATGCAACTGCGAAGTCAGCCCTTAAGGCTTGACTCCTTGGATTCTCCGGAGCAAGCTGTCAGTGCAGAAGGCTTGCTTCTTCCTGGCAAGTGGGCAAATGGCAATTGTTCTGCAGCCCCTCTTCTCCATAAAGGGGGACCAGATTGCCTCAGCCTGAAACCTGAGGAATTAATTACTTGGTTCCCAGCTTTTCCTCTGAGGTTAGGGGCTTCTCCAGAGTAAATTGAGGTATCCTGTATTTCTCAATTGTAATAGAACTCACCACCTGCTCAAAATTCCAAAAGTCCCTGCAGCCTCAAAAAGGTCGGACCCCAGGGGTATCTAAGATGCTCATACCAGAAATAGGTTGATGGTGGATTGCCAACTGTATTAGTATAGCACTGTAGGTCAGTGTAGAGGTTAAGCAGTCGATGGCTAGCCAAAGCTTAATAGATTTCTGGGATGGCCTGGCAAACAGAAATTAGTCACTGCTTTGAAAAGACTACATACAGCAAGGGATACAAGTAAAATGCTAAAGCAATATTTAGCTTATGTGTGCACAAGGAAGTAAGTCTCAGGGATTTAAATGGAACTGAATCTCATCTGTTTGCAGCCTCAAGACCTGAACTATATATGCTAAGCCAGGACACCATCTCCACCCAACACCCCCAAAAAGAACAAGCAGAGAGGGCATTTGGTCAGGTTATTTCATTTATACCCGCCTTTCTTCCCTAATGGGGGACCCATCATCTCCATTTTACCCTCACAACAATCCTGTGAGGTATGTTAGGCCGAGAGAGTGTTACTGGCCCACGGTCACCCACCAAGCTTTCATAACATGAGTGGGGATTCAAACCTGGGTCTCCCAGATACCACTCCAACTCTCTTAACCACTACACAACACTGCCTTTCTTTCATGGGGAGATTTGGGGTAAAACTGGCAGGGAGAAAGGAATAAGCACA